CTCCCAGAATTCCCCAGCCAGCATGGCTGACTGGGGAATTCTGGGAGTTGAAGTCCACACAGCTTCAAGCTGCCAAGTTTGAGAAATACTGCCCTAGAGGCTGATCCTAGATGCTTTGGCTGCCAAAAGCCAGAAGTGTCTTCATTCCAGGTAGAAAGGTGAAAGCTTCCTTGAGTCCAGCTCAACTCTTGGTGGTTTCATGGGTATGTCCATGCAGTTTTCTTGCTGGCAGTATGTGAGTTGCCATTGCCTGGGGCGTATCTCAACGCCACTGTCTAACCTGCAACCCTGTCATTTGCTGGTGGTCTCCCATCCAAGTATTAGCCAGGCCTGTTCCTGCTTAGCTTTCAAGCCAGACAAGTTTGCTTAGTTTTGCCACCTGCTCAAATCCATGCCAGGTACAGAAGCCAACCACACTTCCATACTTTTGTTAGACTTGAAGATATTGCGAGATAATCAGACGCACGGGTCTTCACCATTCTGCCTGTCTTTTAGCATCTGCTCCCTAAGATATTTGTCTCACTGGTTCAGATGGGCCCCATCATGTGTAGGACAGTTAAGAAACTGGTTGAGATCCATTTTCTTTCTTCTCACCAAGTTCTGCACTTGGAAGAACTGCAATGTCAGGTAAAGGTTCAACTGGCAAAGCCAAGTATAGTGTTGCGGGAAAAAAGCTGCATTCTCTGCACTGATGTATCTCACACAGCTGTACAACCAGCCTTCCCCCAACCGGGTGCCCTTCTAGATGTCCAGGATGATGGAGTTTGTAATCCAGCACCTTGGAAGGAGAAGCTATGTTGCAATCTCCTGAAGGTATGGAGCATCACGTGTGAACTAGCTTTGAGCATACCCAGCATTTGAATGTTGAAAATGTAATGCAGGTGCACTTCATTTTTTTTTCAAGGGTCACCTGAAGAGGCTTAGGGATGAGGGTCCACTGTCAGGTTTAAAATAAGGGAGTTTGGGTTCCTAGGTAAGACACAGAAAGGAGAGGCAGTCAGTTAGAGCAGCCATTTCCAGTCTTCCTGCAAGACCTAGTTTTTCCACATGGCGTTGGAGGAGTCCTGAGTAAGGCAAGGGCGTGGTGGGGCAATCGGGGAGGAAAAGCAGGACCCCAAAAGGCAGGGAGGCCATCTCTGGGGCCTTCCTGAGCCTGATGAAGGCTGATGGGATTTGGGGTCAAAAACACTTGGGGAGACCCTGACTGAGAACCAGTGAGGTTTGTGGTGAAAGTCATGGACTAGCACTGGGAGACCCGAGTTCAAGTCCATTCACACCAATGGAGATCCATGGAGTAACTGCACCAGTCATGTCACTCTCAGCTCAGCCCTACCTTACAGGGTTGCTGTGAGGCTCAAAGGAAGAGAAAATTCTCCATGCTCCCAACTTAACTTTCTAAAGGAAACATGAGATATTCTCTCTCTCTCTCTCTCTCTCTCTCTCTCTCTCAATAGATATATAATTTTAAAAAATGGGGTGGAGGAGCTGTGGTAATGGTTATGACATTCAGTCAGAACAGGGGAAACCCAGCTTCAGGTCCAGCCTCAGGTGTGGAAATGCCTTGGGTGGCTTTGAGAGATTTCTGATTTCCTTCTTCTAAACTTTTTAAAAAACCTTTCCAGCCTTGGGATTTCTTAGCTGTCTTCCGTTCAAGTACTGATCAGGTCCAATCTTGCTTAGATTTTTTTTTTTTTAGGTCAGCCAAGAATTATTAAATGCCGCCTGTTCAGCTCTGTGTTCTGATCCCAGACAGCATGTTCTTCTTGCTCCAGCTATGCTGAATGGACCTTATGTTCTTGGGTAGAAGATCTGCTTCAGGATGCTCCTCTGCATCACATAAGATTTCAGCTGGCTTAGAACAATAATCCCTGAGTCATTTCGATATAGTTCAGCCATGAAACCAAAGACTGAAGTTGGCCTAAATAGCTAGCTCGGAACCAGATTGTTCAAGATGTTTCGTTTTTTTCCAAGTCTGTACATTTTATGGTGCCATAAAGTTTCACATCAGCATTCTGGCAGCATACTAAATGTGTGAACGCACAGGGGAAAACAGCATATTCTTGAGAAAAGTGGCTGAATACACATCTCTGTGGCCCCAAATGAATAGCTAGTCGCTATTTCTCCGCCTAGTTTACTGTACTAGGTTGCTGTAAAGAATTAATTGGAGAAAGAGAACATAGAAAGCTTAATCTTATCCTGCCAAATTCATTGCTCAACAGCTTATACTGGTTGATGGTGATTAAATACAGTTCTGAAGGGCATTATTTTGATACACAATTTTATATTCTATATATACACAATTTTATATTC